GCTTCAAAAAAAAATCCTGTTTCCTTTTCGCAGAATCAACATGATTTTTTTTTCCTCTAGGACTTGTGAAGCTGCTTGTATTAAAAAAAAAAAAGAGAGACAAAACCCCCATAACAATATAGAAAATTAAAATCCCTTAATATAGGTACTATCTATTTTTTTTACCTGTCCTTAAACCTGAGATTTGCTTAATTTCCTCTTAAAAAGGATGAGGATTTCACATCTCTAGACAGCCTGTTTGGTTGTTTATATGACAACCTTTTCTAGGCTGAATAACTGTTACCACATGTAGTGTTGTCCCTTCCTCTATAAAACTCTCACCTTGCTATGATGTAGGTTCTCTTATTTGTGTACATGTTGTTTTGTGTATACTGTGAACGAAACAAAAATACACAGCTGTAATTGATTAGTGTGTGGTAGGACATAATGAATTCTCTTGTGCCTATAACACTTGCTGTATTATATCCCAGGAGAAAAAAACACTTGGACTCATGGTCAGTTTTCTGTCTGATACCTCTGTATGAGATGCTTTTCATCAGAACAGAATGACTTGTTAATCCCTATTTCATACAGATGTGCTTCATTTATTCTAAAAGATACGGTGTGGTCTGTTGGTGAATTTCATGTTACTCCTTTTGGAGCACTTATTGCCACGATTAATTTTGAATTAAATCCTCAAAAATACTTTGGACTGCTTCTAACTGCAGATTTTATACAGCTATTGTGTGTTACTATCAAAGTTAATGAAAAGATTGAGTAGAAGCAACACTGGGAACCAATCTGAAATCCCCATTCAATTTGAATAGAGCAATATAGGTGATATAATGGGGAAACTGACTTTCTAAGAATTTAAAGACCTAAATCTCCCTAATTAACATAGCATAATTAAGTGTCATGAGAATAAGAGAGGGAAAATAGTGTATTTGGCAGGGGACCTGTATGAAGGCAGTCAAATGGAATAAAAAAATTATTTGCTATGAACTTTTTGAATGTTAGAACCTTTTTAGTCTTTTGCCAGCACATATGGTGTTATGATCTTGATCTGTTCTGTAAGATATTTCTGTGACCAGTAAATCAAATACTATGCTATAAAATCAGTAAACATTCATAAAACCCCCCAGCTTTCCAAGATAGAGGAGCTGTGTTAGTATGAGAGGTTGGAGGGGGGGACGTTATTTGCTGGTGGTTTTGGTTGGTGTTTTTTAATGCCCTCTTCAAATTTCGGCTTGCCAGGTCAGGAAAGATCCCAGTTCTTCCCTTTGTTTCAGAATACAATCCGAACAACTGTAATTAAGGTTATGTTTCCTTAGTGAGAATAGATGGAAGAAAGGCTCTGTACATACACAAAAATGACCACCTAAAAATTTTGTTGAAATTACATGAAGTTATATGAAGTACCTAAAAGAGAACACTGAAGAGCACGGGCCTTTTAAAATTGAAATTGACCTAAAATAGAAGTGAGTATGGTGATATTTCTGTAATGTACATACTGTTTGTCTTAAAGCAAACAAGCATACAACTGATTTCTTCAATACAGACTTTGTCTTTTAGCCACTTGGCAAGTATTTTTCATCTTATTTGTGCTACAATGACCATGATTATATATGCCAATTGCATGAATCTGTGTGGCAACTGGAACTGAAGCACTTTCATTCCATCGGCACCTTTTAACAGAGGTCAGCACAGTTCTGCTCAATGTTAGCTTTTATTTCAATTTTGGGCAGCCGGTGAAGGGAGGAAAGATGTGCCTAGGAAGAAACGAACATTTTTTTCTTAGCGTGTTTGTGTGTACAATTCATTTCAATGGCAAAACAGTAAACAGTACATGTTATTGGTCTGTTAAATATAGTTCAAATGACTAGTGATTTTAATTCCATTTTTGTTTATACATGTTTCTACTTCTGTTTTTAGACAGCACTAAAGTTCATTCTCACAAGATTTAGCTTCACTTTGGTACCCGCCTGATGCCTTGGTAAAGTCAAAAGGAATAGCAGATTGCAACATTGAAAACCAAGAAGGAAAAAAAGCTTCATTGGGGAGCAGGGAGGGAAATCCTTTCACAAGAGCAAGGCCAGGACTGTTCTAAATTCTTTAAACTAGCTCTTTCTGGCTTTTCATTCTCTAAAGACTCCTAAGGGTTGTAGAAAATAATGGATTTTCAGGGCTACTTTTATTTGGAGAAATGCTGAGTTTCAAACAGTAAATGAAGAAATGTTGATCTCCAGTAGCTCTCCAGCCTCTCAGCTAGAGAGGGACTATCATTTTAGCCACATGTTAAAAGGAAATGAGTTAATATTTTCTATCAAAATGCTAGCTTCCTCTATAGATAATTTCACTTGTCAAAAGCATCTTTTCCTCATTTTGCGCGGTCTCATAGGAAACACCTTATTCAAATGCATTCACGTTTCTGTTTCCCTGTGATAGCTGTTGAAAGGATAAACTGTTGTCTACTGATAGAATTAAGAGTGGTGGTAGGATATCCTGATTTTTAATTATTGCTGTTGAAACTAATTCCTCATTGGCTTTGGGCAATTTGCTTCCATCTCTTTTGTTTGATGTATCATTTAATCTATGAGCTAGAGAGACCAGCAGTAGGTATTATTTCATATGCTAGGAAGAGTAAGAAGCAAACCTTTCAAGTTTAACATGGTGTTTGGGATTTTTTTTTTAGTGCTTTAGAACAGTTATCATCAATAAATCAACATAACTATAGTGTGGGTGTCTGTAAATAGTATATTCTGATTCTTGCTGGTCTGATTAAAGTTCTGTCCTCCTTTTAACCTTTCACTTTGTGTTTAACTCTGAGAGAAAAGGGCTTGGTTAAGGAACATCCTTCTAATGAACAGATGCGTCCTTCAGATATGTATCTCCTCTAGAGTTCCTTTCTTTGTCTTTCTGGTGCTCAAGGAAAGCTAATTCTCTTATTTGGCTGCCAAAGGAAAATACGACTTGCGTCTCTAGTGTACAATTCATTATTCTTCTAGGAGAGAATAGACTTATTTCAGTTGGAAAGGACCTACAATAATCATCTAGTCCAACTGCCTGAGCAATTCAGGGCTGACCAAAAGTTAAAGCGTGCTGTTAAGGGCATTGTCCAAATGCCTCTTAAACACTGACAGGCTTGGGGCATTAACCACCACCATAGGAAGTCTGTTCCAGTGTTTGACCACCCTCTAGGTGAAGAAATGCTTCCTAATGTCTGGTCTAAACCTCCCCTGGTGCAGCTTATATGTTATAGGATAGGCAGTATTTTTTTAGACTGGTGTGGCTGGAAACGGTTAATAAGTTCTTCAGGTTGGAAGCAGAGATGGAGTTGCCCTAGTTGGTGCTGACTTTTCCTTTTGTGTTGCCCAGCTGGTGGTGGCTTGTCGACCTCTGTGTGCTTCCCTGGAACTCCTCATGGTCTATTTATTTAGCCTGTCCTTTGTATGCTTGTCTTCGAGGATATTATTGGTGTGTCAAAAGCTTTACCAAAGTCAAAGGAAACAGCATCATCCATTGTTCTCCCCTCCTCTGCTGAGCCACTCACCTCTTTGTAGAAGCCTATCAAGTTTAGCACTATTTACCCATCATAAATAAACAGTGACTACTCTTGATGACCTCCTTGTCCTTCATATGTTTGAAAATGGTTTCTAGGATTACTTGCTCTATCACCTTCTAGGGATTGAGGTGAGGCTGAGCAGCCTGTACCTCCCTGAAGTATCCTCCTTGTCCTCCTCTAAGATAGGAGCGACGTTTTCTTTTTTCCAGTCCTTTTAGCAACTACAGAGGTTGTAGAGGAATAATTTTGGGAAAATCTTTTTAGTAATCTCTAACAGAAATATGTTTCTTTGAATGAAGGAAAACCTATTTATTCTCTGAGGCTTTTTTTTCCATTTTTCCGTGATTTGAATTCCTCTAGCAAGTAAAATGAAACTTTATCTTGCATATTTAGCAAGTGAGTATTTCCGTTATTTCAGTTGTATATGCATGGACATAAGACTGAAGAAAGCCTGGTGAAGACAGGTTTCCTAAAATGCTTTTTCACTTAAAGGAAGGATAGGAAGCTGCTGTAGAAGGCTTGTCTAAGCTATTCTATAATACAAGAGTGCTTGCTGATTTTTGGCTTCACTATTTAAAATATGTAAGCTGAATCTAATGAGATGTATATAATGGAGCTGTATTTCATCTATATGCTTGCTAAGTTAAACTAGCAGCATTGCCATGCTTCTGAAAGCTAAAGATAGGAACTGATACTGTAACAGTCCTGTATAAGTACTGTGTAACTCTGCTGCTAAGAGTTACCCCTTTTTTTCCTGTGAATATGCATCGAATTGCAGCATAGATTAGAGTTGCATGTTCACAAAAAGGGAAAATTGACCCCTGCTGAGAGTAGGTGGGGGATTAGGGTTTTTTATTAACAAACCATCTGCTTCTGTGTATACTGAAGATGTGTTGAATGTTTTCTTGAAAGTAAAGTGACAATCTGAGTCAATAAACAGGTTCTACTTGCATCTAATTCTTGTAACAGTTAATCTATCTGCATATTTGATGTGATACCATCACTGAGAGAATTAAAAGTTGTTCTGCTTATATTCCTCCCTGGTTTATTTTTATTTCAGGCAAACTATGATCTTATGTGACAAGAATGTGTTCATTTTAGCCACGAATTTAAAGGGGGTGGTGGGGGTGGTTTCTGTTTATCTTTTTGTTTTTCTTGTTACCTTAGCTGTAACACTGTGAGCATTGCTGTAAAGATTAGCTGTGCTGTTGGTCAGGTAAATTGAACTGATTATAATTGGATAAAAATACAGGTTTATAGATGATTTTTTTATATGTAGATATGCTTTACTTTAAGACTAATAATGGGGGAATGGATTAGCGTTTGAAAGAATTTCCCCATAGTTTTAAACGGTATCACATTGGCTAATGTGATTCTTTATTGGCTGGCATTAACTACAAGGTTATTTAGCCATTATAATATACATATTATAAATGCTTCTTCTGGTTTTATATTTTAGGTCTAGAAGTATTTGGAGAGAGATTAAGAGGTTCAACAAATAACGTTCTAATGGATGACAGAAAATTTACACGAAATGATCTACGAATAGACTCAAAGAACAGTCGTCCTGCTGACCATAGGGTGGAAAGTTTGGCATCTCACTTGGTTTCTTCAGCTGATGAAAATGAAAACCAACTTGACAATGATGGGAATGAGGTTCTGAGCAACAGTAGCATTGCTGTGGGACAACAGGATAAAGGTGAGCAGGACAGCATCAATAATAATGAGAATACAGACAGTGGAGACTGCACCCCAAGCTGTAAGGAAAGTGAGACTGACAGGAGATCTGTAAATGTCCATATGGACCCCCAGCTGGAGGAAAAGCCTATTACAGAAAAACAGCCAGGTGGAAAAAGAAGTCCAAGAAGCAAAAGAAGCTCCAGCAAAAAATCTAAAGGTACTTTATTTTTTGTTATGTTTAATTAAAATAATAACACTTTAGTTCTAATCTGTGAGCCAATAAGAAAGATACATTGTAGTTGTAATACTAATTATTTTTAAAATTTCACCAAAAGTTGGGGTTTTTTTCAGAACTGTTAATAGTTCTAAATCAGATTCAACTCTAGATGTTTCACCTTCTGTAGTTAACCTGTATTTAAACATTGGCTATGTAGCAAAGGGAATGTATCAAGGAAGCACGAGTAGAGGGATGTGCAGAGTTTCACTATGGAAATGGGGCTGACTTCCAAATCAGAATAACCAAATCAGAATATTTAGGCAATATGATTTTGTCCGTTTGAACATCATGCTCGAGTGCAAGATTTTGGTGTCTTGATCCAGTGTCCAGATTGGAAATCTTAGTATGAATACCAAATAGCTTGATCTTGGCTGCTGTTGTCAAAATTTACCTACACTTTTCAAAGCTTAATAGATAGTCCTACGATGTGCATTTTGGGTAATGAGCTGTTCAAAAATGTGTTTCTACCAATTTTTGATGTTACTTCTTTAGATCTTTTGGATATGAATTGGATAAGGAAAATGTAAGTGTTTATAACATGTTCTTATTTGATCTTCATCCCTTTTTGAATGAGTAGGATTTCTCTACATCAACACAATATTAGGTTTTTGCCATAATTCATAAAGTTTATGTTTCACAGTGCTGCAAATACATTAATTAAAATCAGTGTGTTTCATCGCACAGTTATCTTTGAAAGTTACTTGGGACAACTGAATCATGCCTGCATTTTTATTTCCTCTACCTCCC